TGTTGCGAAATTCCGAAGATGCATCTCCAGAATTTTCTGCAACTCTCGTGAACGTCAATGGTGGAATGCAATCTCCAAAATCATAAAAAATAATGTATTGATCAACAAAATTACCTAGCAAACACATTTCTCATTATGTATAAGCTATCAAACATGTATAGACTATCTATTTCTTAACCTAATCATCAATTTCTACAAATTTATACAAAAATTCAATAAAGTTTAGAAAAAAACAATAACTTACAAAACAGTGTTGGAAGAGCTCTTTGGTGGGCTTGAAAGATTGAGAGATGCGATTTGAGAGAGTTTGAGTAATTTAGTGGTTAAGAGTGGTTTTTTTTAGAAGTAGGGAAGGAGAAGGTGTTCTGGCGCGTTTTTGAATCAATAGAATACGAAGATGCATCTCTAGAATGTATATGAAGATGTATCTCCTTAATATATTTTTTCCATTGATTTAGGACATAATTTAAGAATGTATTGAGTTGGAGCGCGTCCGAAAATACATATCGAAAATATGAAGATATTATTGTATTTTCAAAAGGTGTATTAGTAAAGCGATAGAATAAATTAAGAAATCCCCATTAAGAATCAATTTATCTTACTTGAAGAAAACATATACTAGTATATCATTTAAAGGCAAATGGCATTTAATTGCTTCCATGGCCTGATCCGGAGTATCAAACGTGCAACCAAAAGAAACTCACCAAGGACACATTTCAACACCCACAAGTCAATAATTTAGAAGTACGTCTATAATTAGCTCGAGGAAACCTCCAAATTGAATTGAATATTTTACTGTTATACTTACCACGAGGCATCAACCATCTCATTTAATCTCATGAATAAAGAATGAACGAAAGAGCTGCAGGAAAATCGAAGAGTGATGTGGCCTTGCAGGAACATTCAGCAAAAGAGACCAAAGGCAAAGGAAAGTGTTTCGGCAGAGGTAGAGGTGGCTACAACAAATCGAATGGTAGAGGAAACCAGATTGAAGGAAACGTGTCGAATCAAAGAAGACCATATCAAGGCAACCAAAGAGGTGGTGTTGCAAATAGAGGAAGAGGTGGTGGTCGAAAACCTGATAATAGTCACATTCAATGTTACAATTGTCAGAAGTATGGACACTATGCGAGTGATTGTCCAGAAAAACGAAAGAATCAAGAAAGTGATGCAAAGCTTGCAAAACATGAATAAGAAGAGATGATGTTGATGGTCACAACAAGAGATGAAGATAGATTCAAGGACCAATGGTACTTGGATTCAGGATGTTCATCACATATGTCTGGAAGGAAAGACTGGTTCGTCAATATAAAACCCTCAATGAAAAATATGGTAAAATTTGCAAATGACAATACCCTAGCAGCTGAAGGTATTGGTGATGTTATGATTATGAGGAAAGATGGCAAAAGGTAAGTAATTTCCAATGTATTATATATACCAAGCATGAAGAGCAATTTGCTCAGTATAGGGCAGTTGGGCGAAAAGAATTATAAAGTGTCAATCGAAGATAAGATGATGAGAGTCGTTGATGCAAATGGGAGATTAATCTTGAAGGCTCCCATGTCTCATGATCAAACCTTCAAGATCGAACTAAATGTGATGGAGCACAAGTGCCTTTCGACTGCACCTAGCAGAGATGAATGGATATGGCATTATAGACTAGGCCATCTCAACTTCAGAGACATCAGAGATTTGAAGAGAAGAAATATGGTTTCAGGATTGCCAAAAATTGACATTCTAAACGAAGTATGTGAGGAATGTGTGCAGGCGAAGCAACACAAGAATAGCTTTAGCAAGGATGCAGGAAACAAATCGAAGGCTAGTCTTGAAGTTATATACTCTGATGTATGTGGACCAATCCAGGTGGATCCGATGGGAGGTAACAAATACTTTATTACATTCATAGATGGTTTTAGTCGAAAGCTATGGACTTACCTGATCAAGAAGAAAAGTGAATTGATCGAAGTATTTACCAATTTTAAGTCTATGGTCGAAATACAAAGTGGTCGAAAGCTCAAAGTTTTGAGAACTGATGGTGGTGGAGAATATGTGTCGAAAGACTTCGACAAATTATGTGAAAAGGAAGGGATTGTGCATGAGGTGGTGCCACCCTATACTCCACAACAAAATGGAATTGCAGAAAGGAAAAATCAAACCATCATGAATATGGTGAGAAGTATGTTGAAAGTCAAGAATTTACCTAAAGAGTTTTAGGGTGAAGCTGTTTCGACTGCAACATACATTTTGAACAGATGTCCTACAAAGAATCTAGAAGGAATTACTCCAGAAGAATGTTGGTCTGGTGTGAATCCTAGTTTGAATCATCTGAAGGTATTTGGATCTATTGCCATAGACATGTGCCAGATCAGTTGAGAAGAAAACTTGATGATAAGTCAAGTCAAATGATTCTAGTTGGATATCATTCGACAGGAGGCTATAAGTTGTTCGATCCAGTGAAAAAGCAGATTGTGGTTAGCAGGGACGTGATCATAGATGAGTTTAAAGAATGGGATTGGACTGAAAATATCAAGAAAGATTCAGTGGGAATCCTTCTTGAAGAGACAGAAACTCAAGTCGAAAGAGAAGTTCGACAGGAGGAACCAACAGATATACCAAGTACAAGAAGACCTCAAAGAACAAGACGCATGCCTGCAAGATTGCAAGATTGTGTGATTACATCAGATGATGTAATAGATAATGAATGTGAGCTGGTACATTATGCTTTCTATGCAGATGTCGAACCCGTTAATGCAGCTGAAGCATCAAAGGATTCAAAGTGGGTGAAAGCAATGAACGAAGAAGTAAAGTCTATCAAAGACAACAACACTTGGTCACTTGTCGAATTGCCTCAAGGCAAGAAGGCAATTGATGTCAAGTGGGTATACAAAGTGAAAACGAATTCGAAAGGTGAAGTAACTCGACACAAAGAATTGTGGTGAAAGGATTTCTACAGAAAGAAGGAATAGACTTCGATGAAGTTTTTGCACCTGTTGCTAGGATCGAAACAATCAGGTTGGTTGTTGGTCTAGCAGAAATAAACAGTTGGCACATATGTCAGATGGACGTAAAGTGTGTATTCCTAAATGGACCCTTAGATGAAGAAGTCTATGTTAAACAACCAGTTGGATTTGTGAAACATGACGAAGAAAGAAAGGTGTACAGGCTACATAAAGCCCTGTATGGATTGAAATAAGCTCCAAGGGCTTGGAATAAGAAAATTGATAGTTTTCTAAGGGAGAAGAAATTTGTGAAGTGCACAACTGAACATGGAGTATATGTAAGAAGAAACAAGAGTAAATTGCTTATACTATGTCTCTATGTAGATGATTTGTTGATAACGGGTAGCTGTAAAAGTGAGATCGAAGACTTCAAAGGTGATCTCAACAAAGAATTCGAAATGTCTGATTTGGGTGAGATTTCATATTTCCTTGGTATCGAATTCTACAAGAGCAGTAGAGGTTTGATGATGCATCAAAGAAGATATGCAGAAGAAATTATCAAGAGGTTTGAGATGGAAGAATGCAACTCAACTTCGACACCTGCAAAACCAAGACTGCAACTGTCGAAAGATGCAAATGAAGATGATGTTGATCCAAACCAATACAGAAGACTTATTGGATCATTGAGATACCTTTGTCATACAAGGTCTGACTTAGCATGTAGTGTAGGTATGGTAAGTAGATTCATGTAGAAGCCAAAGGTATCACATCTAGCAGCAGTGAAGAGGATACTAAGGTATCTCAAAGGAACTTTCGATTATGGCATTTTGTTTCCTGCAGTTGATAAAGGAAAAGAATGCAAGTTAGTGGGATACACTGATTCGAGTTGGTGTAGTGATGTTGAAGATCGAAAGTCAACAGCAGGATATGTGTTTATGCTAGGTGGTGCACCAGTTGCTTAGAATTCAAGAAAGGAACCAGTAGTGGCATTATCATCATGCGAAGCAGAATACATAACTGCTTCTCTTTGTGCATGTCAAGCAACTTGGATGGTTAATTTGGTCGAAGAGATAACAGGGAAAAATCATGGAGCAATTACCATGAAGATCGACAGCATGCCAGCTATCAATCTAGCGAAGAACCCAATAGCACATGATCGAAGTAAGCACATCAAAATGAGATTCCATTATCTTCGAGAGCAGGTAGCAGATGAGAAGATGAATTTGGAACACTGCAGAATGAGAATCAGATTCCAGACATCATGACGAAGGGAGTGCAAACCGAAGTATTCAGAAAGCTAAGAGCCATGATGAACATAGATAGTTTAGACACAATGAATTAGGTGGTGTGTTAAATTGTAATCCAGTGTGTCGAAACTATGTGTCGAAAAGATTTGATTTGTTTTAGATTTAAATAGATTTGATTTAAGTCTAGAATAAATTAGATTTGATTTAGTAACAAAAAGATATTTTGGGCTTTGGGCTTAGAGTGTAAGCTCAATTATAAATAGAGGGAGTAACCCCTATTTTTGTAAGCAAGTCAAGCAAGCTATTCACAGTATTTTGCAGTTGCAAAGTGAATAAGAAAGTTTTCACAATTTGTGAGCAGAGAGAAACTCTACAGAAATTATTTGTCTTATCTTCTTTTCTTTGTTTGTCTCATAACTAATTATCATTGTGATAGAAATTCATCATAGACTTTAGTAGATTTTCAACGGAACCAAACATATACTAGTAAATCATTTAAAGGCAAATGATATTTAATTGCTTCCATGGGGTGATCCGGAGTATCAAACGTGCAACCAAAAGAAACTCACCAAGGACACATTTCAACACCGACAAGTCAATAATTTAGAAGTAGGGCTACAATTAGGTCCAAATTGAATTGAATATTTTACTGTTACACTTACCACGAGGCATCAACCATCTCATTTAATGTCCTTATACTTACCACGAGGCGTCAACTAATATAATATTTGTATATTTATACGTGTTGTGTTATGTTGGAGAAATAACATAACAAACACTATCAAACACTTTCAAGCATAGCATCAAGAGAAACATGTCTAGTACCGAAGCTGTGAACAACAACATGGATGATCAACTTCATGTCATCATGTTCCCATTCCTAGCATTTGGTCACATAAGTCCTTTTGTTCAATTATCCAACAAGCTTTTCTCCAATGGAGTTCGCATCACTTTCTTGTCAGCATCATCCAACATTGACAAAATCAAAACTACATTTAATCTCAACCCATCCATCAACATTATCCCACTTGAGTTTCCCAATGGCATAACCAACACTGCTGAATTGCCACCTCACTTAGCTGGAAACCTCATTCATGCTCTTGACCTCACTCAACCTCAGATCAAGTCCCTTTTATTAGAACTCAAACCTCATTATGTTTTCTTTGACTTTGCACAAAACTGGCTTCCAAAACTAGCTTCTGAACTTGGTGTTAAATCTGTTGATTTTTCTGTTTTCTCTGCTATTTCTAGTTCTTACGTTACTGTGCCTTCAAGACTTGATGATATTGAAGGAAGAAGCATCAGTTTTGAGGATCTTAAAAAACCTCCAAAAGGGTTTCCACAAAAAAACAATAACTCCCTCAAGAGCTATGAGGCCATGGACTTTATGTTTTTGTTTAGAAAATTTGGTGAAGGTTTAACTGGCTATGAACGAGCTAAACAGAGTCTTAGTGAATGTTCATATTTTGTTTTCAAATCATGCAAGGAAATAGAAGGACCTTATATAGAGTACTTAGAGAAAGAGTTTGGTAAACAAGTTCTGTTAGCCGGTCCATTGGTTCCAGAGGCATCAAATGATGTGTTGGAGGAAAAATGGTCGAAATGGTTGGATAATTTTCCAGCAAAATCAGTGATATTTTGCTCATTTGGGAGTGAGACATTTCTGAGTGATGAACAAATCAATGAACTATCATCTGGGTTGGAACTCACTGGTTTACCATTCATTTTGGTTTTGAATTTTCCATCCAAATGTGCAGAAACTGAGCTGGAAAGAGCATTGCCAGAAGGGTTTTTGGAAAGAGTGAAAGGTAGAGGTATGGTGCACAGTGGCTGGTTGCAGCAACAGCTTATTCTGAAACACAATAGTGTTGGATGCTATGTTTGTCATGGTGGTTTTAGTTCTGTGATTGAAGCTATGGTGAATGATTGTCAACTTGTGCTGTTACCTTCTAAGGGTGATCAGTTTTTCAATTCAAAGTTGGTTGCTAATGATATGGAGGCAGGGATTGAGGTGAATAGAAGGGAAGAAGATGGATATTTTTATAAAGAGGATATAGTGAAAGCAGTGAAGATTATAATGGTGGATGATGAGAAAGAACCTGGGAAGAGCATAAGAGAAAATCACACCAAATGGAGGAATTTTATGTTAAATAAAGAAACTCAGAATAAATTTATCATTGATTTGGTTGCCCAGTTGAAGTCTCTGGCTTAGTGCATGTACGGTTGATCTAAACATGCAGTTAATCCACTCTCTTGTTGTGTTTTTCTTTGTGTTGTTAGTTTCAGTTTCAGGCTCAATCTCTGTTTTTGTTGTAATTGTAACAAGAGATTTACTTGTTTGATTTAGTTTGATGAAATAAAACTAGTTGATGCATGAGAGTTATCATGTGAATTTTAATGTTCATTTACATATCTACCATCTACTCTTGTTGCAAATAGTGTGGGGGAGTTATGTCACAGTATCTCACCCGTGCATAGGAACTGAAAAGTTATTGCAATGCACAAGATGTGGACACAAAAAGTGAATCCCATTTGCATAAGATGTGCAAGAAAAGGAAAACTAAGAATAAGAATCTGTATCGACACATAACAATTTAATTTTCTTTGCAAATGGTGAGCCTTCAAAAAGTGTATATTGTTTTGATTCAACAGCCAACAAAGGTTGACTTGTATATTATTAATGCTCTAGGTAAGGATGTTTACTTGCCATGTTGAAAACAGTTGATGTGAAGCTGCATGTGGTTCTCACAGCAGTTTTTCAACTAAAATGAACGATAAATGTCATCGGATTAAAGAGGGAGTGAAATACTATACATGTATAAGTCCAATAATGTTTGAGGGCTGCTCATAATAGACTGGGACTCTGCTATGCCCTTTTCCCAACATTTCATTCATCAGCCGCCTGCTAGGTCATAGGCATTTTATTATGAGTCAAATTTGTATAATACTACAAAACTCAACTTTCATTTATAAGAAAATCTTTAACCAAATTTTTGGAATGCAAAGGATCCACCACCATCGTCTCTGATCTATATTCAACACGAGATAAGGGCAAGGGTTCTGACAATTCCTGCAGTACATGCAAGTTCAATTGGTCACAAATGGACATTATAGTTCCGGGCACAAAATCATAAACTCTGCTCCTGCAACTATATAACAATAGCAATGTATATAATATATACACAACTAGGGAAGTTAAGTTCGTACACAAGAATTGATATTAGTGACAGTTGCAATAGTTTCATCTTCATTCAAATCTCTCTTAACCTTTGTCAACCCTGCAATCTTACACGTCAATGTAATCGCAGATAAATGTGTTAGAATTAATTTATATTTTATGAATTAATTTAGGAATATCTTTTTAGATATTAATTTATATTTTATGAATATCTTTTTAGATCTTTTTATATCTTTGATAGAGGATATTTATAATTTTATTATACCCTAATTTTGTGTATAAATAACCTAGTGAGGTAGGTCAATGTAATTTATTGTAAATCATTATTCCTTATTTTTGTAGCCGTCATTAAATATATTTCTTTTGCCTTTCATCTTTTCTTTGTGCACCAACAATTTGTATCTAGAGTTCCGGTTAGAAATCCACGGGGAAACACGGGAAACACGAGAGAACAATGAGGTGTTGTGTGATTGATAATCGTTGTTTCTGATTCTGGGGATTTGGGAAACACTACTTTATTGAGTTTCTGCGTAAAATTACACAGGGTAGAAGATGAACGGAAACGGCGGTGATATCCATTCCAAACTTCCAGTATTTGATGGCAAAAACTAGAATCATTGGAAGATCCAGATGCGCGTGTTGTTTGGTTCTCAAGATGTGTTAGATCTTGTCACCGATGACTATGATCTGTTAGAAGCAGACACAACAGAAGCACATAATATAATACATAGGACGCTAAGGAAGAAAGATCAGAAGGCGTTGTTCTACATCCATCAATGTGTGGATGCGAATGTGTTTGAGAAGATTGTTGATTCTGAAACAACAAAGGTTGCGTGGGACACACTGGTCAGATTTTACGGTAGTGACGCATCAGTGAAGAAGGTGAAGCTTCAGTCTCTCAGAAAGCAATATGAGAATCTCAACATGAAGGACAATGAGAAGGTTTTTGAGTACATCCCTAGAGTGATTCTGATCACTAATGAGATGAAATCTTGTGGAGAAACTCTTTCTGAACAAGTAATCATTGAGAAGATCTTGAGATCCTTAACTTCCCAGTTTGATTACATTGTGGTAGCAATTAAGCATTCCAAAGATCTGAGCACCATGAGATTTGAAGAGCTGAAAAGTAGTCTAGAGGCGCATGAGTTGCGTATGACTCGAGAACTTCTGAGAGGGAAGTAAAGCATCAAGCTCTAAAAGTAACTTCTGGTAAGAAGTATCAGACGAAGACTTGGTCAGAAGCCAGGAAGAAAATTAATGGTGGTCAAAGGTCAGAAGCTTCAAACTCTGATAGGTAGAAGCATGTCCATAAGGGAAAGGAGAAGTCTGACAAGAAGAATGTTCAGTGTTACTATTGCAAGAACTTTGGTCACTATACCAACGACTGTTGGTCAAACAAAGATAGGAAGTCAGAAGAAGAAAATATAGCCAGAGGAGAGTATGATGATGAACCTGTGCTATTGTTGGCTTCTGAACCTGATTATCTGAATTCATCAGAATGGTGGTATATGGATACAGGGTGTTCAAACCATCTCATTGGAAACAAGAAATGGTTGGTTGATTTTGACTCTGAGAAGAGTACAAAGATCAGATGTACTAATGATAAATACCTAAATGTAGAAGGTATGGGAAATGTCAGAATCATTCTAAACAATGGGAAAGCACCAGTGATTCAAAATGTATGGTATGTACCTGGCATGAAAAGCAATCTGATGAGTGTGGGACAACTGGTTGAGAAAGGTTTTTCGGTTACCATGAAGGACAATCTTCTGAGGCTGTATGACTATAATCAGAAGCTGATTATGGAGTCAGAACAGGGAAGGGACAGAACATTCAAGGTGAATGTTAGAACTGGAGACTCTGAATGCCTTAGTGCAACAAATGTTGTCAAGGAGAGTGAGTTGTGGCATAGAAGATTTGGTCATCTGAATTTCAGAAGCTTAGGGCATCTGAAATCCAAGAAGATGGTACATGGAATTCCTAAAATCAAGAAGCCTGAGAAGTCATGCAGGGTGTGCATAGAAGGGAAGCAACCAAGATTACAGTTTGCATCAGAAGTAGCTCCAAGAGCAAAGTATGCCTTGGAAGTAGTGCATTCTGATGTGTGCGTTCCATTTCCAGTAGCATCGATTGGAGGAAATAAATATTTTGTGTCATTTGTTGATGAGTTCACCAGAATGACATGTGTATCTCTCATAAAGTTCAAACACGAGGTGTTTGCTGAATTCAAGAAGTTCAGACTGAAGGTTGAGAATTAGAGTGGCCAGACTCTGAAGATTCTTAGAACTAATGGTGGTGGTGGGTATAACTCCATATAATTTAGAAGGTTCTATGAAGAGAATGGAATTGAGCATGAGGTTACTGCTCCCTATACTCCTCAACACAATGGCCTTGCTGAAAGAAGAAAATGTACTTTGTTTGATATGGTGAGAAGCATGCTAAAAGAGAAGAAGCTCCCTCATACTCTGTGGGGAGAAGCTGTTGCCACTGCATGTTATATGCTCAACAGATGTCCAACAAAGAAATTTAAGGAAATAGTTCATATTCAAAAGTGGACCGGAGATAAGCAAAGTGTTAGTCATCTGAAGGTGTTTGGTTTTGTATGTTACAAACATGTCCCAGAAGCCAGAAGACAAAAGCTGGATGATAGAAGTAAAGTAATGTTACTGGTGGGGTACCACAGTACAGGTTCGTACAAACTTTATTGTCCATAAAATAACAAAGTTGAGTTCAACAGAGACGTCATTATAAAAGAATCAGAAGTCTGGAATTGAGAAAGGTCTCGTCCTGACTCTGATGAGAGAATTCCTGAAAAAAGTCAGAAACACATGTTTCTGAAGCTGGTAAAGACTCTGACTCTGAAGAAGATACAAAAGGAGAAGATGATTCTGACTCTGACTCCGATGGTGATCCAGACTCCGAAGATAGTAAAGGCTCTGGAGAAGCAAGTGCTTTTGAAGGGGAAAGTTCTGGTGTCCAAAGTTCTGAAGGTCCAGTTCAGAGGCAACAAAGAGTCAAAAGCATCCCAAGAAGATTTGCAGAGTTTGACATGTTGCAAGACACTGAAGTAGACTATGAAGGAGAAGTTATTCAGTGTGCAATGTTAGTAGAATCTGAATCATTGAGTACGGAAGAGGCTCTTAAGCGGAAAGTATGGTTACAGGCCATGAAAGAAGAACTTGATGCTATAGAGAGAAATAAGACTTGGAAGCTGACAGAACTTCCAAAAGGCAAGAAAGCCATCAGCGTCAGATGGGTTTTCAAGCAGAAGCTAAATCCAGATGGATCAATTGGAAAACACAAAGAAATATTAGTAGCAAGAGACTTTCTACAGAAGCCTGGGCTGGATTACTTTGAAGTGTTTCACCTGTAGCGAGACATGAAACAATCAGACTAGTAATTGCAATAGCTGCTAACATGAATTGGCCTCTGATGCATTTAGATATAAAATCTGCATTTTTGAATGGTCCATTACAAGAAGAGGTATACATATCACAAACTCCTAGATTTGTGAAAAATAATCAGGAAGGGATGGTGTTCAAATTACACAAAGCCTTGTATGGATTGAAGCAAGCGCCCAGAGCTTGGAATTTGAAGATTGATTCTTTTTTCAAGGAACAAGGGTTTAAAAAGTGTGAGATGGAGTATGGTGTTTATGTTCATCACACTTCAGAAGGTAATATGATTCTGCTAGTTTTAATGTTCATGACATATGGCTAACAGGAAGTTCTGAACAAGAGATAGCCGAGTTCAAGAAAGTTCTGATGAATGCGTTTGAGATGACAGATCTTGGGAAAATGAGTTTCTTTCTAGGGATAGAGTTTATATATTCTGAGAAAGGAGTAATCTTGCATCAGATAAAGTGTGAACTTGAGCTTCTGAAGATATTTAAGCTAGAAAACTCCAAAGTTTCTATCACACTTGCTGATACGAATTAGAAGTTGGACTCTGATTCTGATGGAGAGGATGTGGATGCTACAACCTTCAAACAAATGGTTGGTTCTCTAAGATATTTGTATAATACCAGATCTGAT